CCATCCTCCAGGTGACCCCATCCCTCCTGAGGACCCCCTTTTCAGGAACCCCATCCCCCAGGTGACCCCATCCCTCCTGAGGACCCCTTTTCAGGAACCCCATCCCCCAGGTGACGCCATGCCCCTGGAGGACTCCAATCCTCCAACCTCTGGGTGATCCCCCCTGCCAGGGATCTCCATCCCCCCTTTCAAGGAACCTCCCTTCTAAGGATTCTCTCCTCTGGCCCCATGCTGATGCCTCATCAGCCCTAAAATCACAAGCCAAACGAGATGAAAGTGAGGAAAGAAGCTGTTACCGTTTATGGAAGGTCCTCCAGGCACACTTAGGGCAGATTGCACATGTGATACAGACACTCTTAAAAAGTTTAGCAAATCAGCATAATTGACAAGAGTCCCCAATTAGAAGTACACTTAATGAACTAATTCCCCTCTTGGTTCGGCCCCCTACTGAATCCTCCCCCTTGCTTCCAGCCCCACATTGTGTCTAAATAGATGGGAAAGTGAAATGGCCTTGGCTGGCTGAAGAAGCGAGATTAGAGCAGCATTCCAGGGATGTGTTTGCCTCACAAAGCACTGAAGTTAGCTAAGAAAATAAATGACTACACAACAATAGCCAACAGAGCCACAAATACACGAAAAATACATAAAAAGCAAATATCTTTGGGCATCAATCCCCCCTGAGGGCTTCACTCACAGGGTCCCCATCCTTTGTGGGACCACCCCTCCCAGGGACTGCCATCCTCTGGGTGACCCCCTCCTCCAAGAGACCTCCCTTCCAAGGATTCTCTCCTCCTGGGGATCCCATTTTCTGTGTGGCCACCTCTCCTGAGGACTCCCTCCCAGGGGCCCCCATCCTCCAGGGGATCCCCCCCTTTCCAAGGATTCTCTCCTCATGGGGACCCCATTCTCCAGGTGATCTCCTGAGGTTCCCCACCCTGGGGACCCCATCCCTTGGGTGACCCCCTCCTCCAAGTGACCTCCCTTCCAAGGTTTCTTTCCTCCTGAGGACCACACCTTCTGGAAGACACCCCCTTCTTTCTGCAGCCCCCAGGGGCACCCCCATTTCCACCTCCCAGCACAGCCTTGGTGGGGAGCAGAGGAAAGGGGCTGGAAATATGTGCTGGGAGGTTTAAGGCTGGGCAGGAGCTGCCTCGCCCCATCCACTGCTCCCAGCTCCTGCCTGCATCCACAAGGTCGCCAGGATTTGATTCCATTCCTCAAAATATAATTAAAGCATTGACAACGCTGCCCTGAATGCCAACACTGAATTCCTGTCATTTAGAGAGGTTCCTGTGATGCTTCCCATGGAGTTATTTCCCTCTGGGATCCCTGTCACCCTCTGGATGGGCCTTTGGCTGCCTTTGGGATGTGACCAACCCCACGGAGCTGTTTGCTCATCACCCTGTGCCCAGTGCTGGGAGCACAATCTGATCACAACCCACGTGCTTGGATTTTTTAAGTGCCTCCTGTGAGCTGCTGGGAGAGGCTGAGCTGAGCAGGAATCCTGAATCCTGCTGCATCTGTGCTCAGGAAAACAGCCAGCAGTGTTGGAACTCAAA